GGTAAAGGAACATGAGATGGTGGAGGTCCAGGGGGAGGGCCCCCAGGGGGTCTGGGGGGCGGAACCCCAGGAGGAGGAGCCCCGGGAGGTCCTGGGGGAAGTACTCCAGGAGGTCCTGGGGGAGGGGCCCCAGGGGGTCGGTGAGGAGGTACCCCGGGGGGAAGATGCATATCACCCATTAAAGGTACACCAGCCTAAGGATAATAATAATAAATTAATTAATAAATAATAATAAATAAATAAATATAATAAATACTTGATGTATTGGTATTTGATGGAGTATGAGCTGATGGCCAGGGGGTGGGGCAGTCATCCCAGGGAAGCCAGGGGGAGGGGGCCCTCCAGCGGAAAATAGAGAAGGAATAGGAACAGGATTAGACATACCAGGGAAGAGTGGGGCTGGAGCCATGCTGGGGGCAGCTGGTATGGGGAACCCTGCTGCTATAGCAACTGAAAGAGAATGATAAAGAGAGAGGGGGTGTGGTCATTAGTACCAGGTGCTTTAGGAGGAGCATCAGCGAACAACTGATGAGGTCTGTCCGTTTGTAGCAAGGGACTCTGCTTAGCCAAATAACGCTCTGTAATGAGGAGAAAATGAGAATAATAATTAAATTAATAATAATAATAATAATACATGTACTTATGTGATGCTGGAAATTAGAGTCAGTCCTTCAAGTTGCTCGAAAATAGAGCCAAAGTCCCTGTACTATAGTACATGGTCTTTGGCCAAATTTTGCCAAAATTGAAAAAGGGAAGAAATCTCTATTTTTATGAATTTATTTCATGCATATACAGTACATGTTCCTGTAAGTTCCGATCTTATACAAAATTAGTTTAAAGATGCTCCGAAATCAGGTCAATTAAAGTACAGTGACTTTAGTCAAATTTCGCCAAAAATGAAAAGGAGAGAATTCCCCACACACAATAAGCACTAAAGTACATTAGATTATAAATATAATACCTTCCCATGTCCCGTGTCTCTCTCCTTTGGACTCTTTCTTAAAAGCGTACGAAACTGATACTTGTCTGTTGCATAAATACTGTCCATTCATTGCTTCAATGGCTGCATCACTGGCATCAAAACTAGCAAAATTGACAAACGCAAAACCCTTAGAACCACCACTGTCAACATCTCGCATTATCTGGGGAGAAGGAGAGAGAGAGAGCAATATTAATGAATGATGGTATAATGTAGTACAGCGACTTTGGCCAAATTTCACCAAAAATCACCAAAATGAAAATTAAAGACTTCTCCATCTTTATAATTGTTTCTGATATATATACATGTATTTATGTTGTGTATCAAGCTTGAGCTGATTCCGATCAAAATTGGATTTTTAAAACAAATTTTGGTACTTTAATGTAACGGTAATATACCTTAGGTGCTTGTAGAATGACACCAAAAGCTGAGAATATGTCGTAAAGCATTTTCTCATCAATCTCTGGATCAAGATTACCAATAAAGAGGTTAGCACCTATGTCAAGACTCTTCATGTTTGACGCTGCCTAATGACAAAAAAATTTATTATACTTATAATAAATACAACTATTATTATTATCATTATTATTATTATTATTATTATTATTATTATTATTAGCTAACCTTATTGACACGAATTGGTTTCCCGTACAGTTTAATCATATTCATTATTTTAATTGCATAGTCAGCATCGTCCTCCCCCATAAACTCAACGAACCCGTACCCCTGATGGGTCTGAGTGATCCTGTCACGTGGTATGTGAATATTTACTGTAGGGTGGGCATTAATTAGAAACGTTAATTAGGGGAGAATTTGCTACATTACAATGGTCTTAACTTAAAAAATTGAAGTCGGAATCACCTCAAACTTTCTACACAGCATAAAGACATCAATATGTATCAGAAAATGTAATAAAAATTTGGAGTGATTTCGGAGCCATTTTTTGGAAAAACCATGGGCTATAGTACAGGGTATTTTTCAGAATTTTGACGTTTTTTTTAAATGGCCATAACTTGAAAAATTGAAGTCGGAATCACCT